ACCTCTGGAGTGCTGGAGTTACGAGCGTGTGGTGGTGTGCCTGGTTTATGCAGTGTTGGGAATTGGACTGTGTATATGCTCGGCCGGTGCTCTACTAAAGGAGCTGCGCCCCGGCCCTGGAGTTCATTGTTCTTGCTCCGTGTGTCCATTTTTTATTCTCTTAGCCAGTTGTTTGCACAACAGACCCGGGACACTGATGGCTGGGTTGATGAGTTTACACATTTGCTATCACACAGTCCGTTATGATTTTGTTGCTGCCGCTGCTGCTGTTGCCAGTTATTTCTAGTCAGGGTCTTGCTAAACAGCTGTGCCGGCTGGTGGTAGGTCAGCTGGACACAGGCCCGAGTCATCGGAGAGGAGGGAGCCTTAACTGACAAAAGGCCTCGGTAAGATGGGGCCGTAGGCAAGCCTCTAGGGCATTTTCTTAATTAGTGATTGATGGGGAGGGTCCAGCCCATGGTGGGTGGGGCCATCCCTGGGCTGGTGGTCCTGAGTTCTATAAGAAAGCAAGCGGAGCAAGCCATGGGGAACAAGCCAGTAAGCAGCACCCCTCCATGGCCTCTGCATCAGTTCCTGCCTCCAGGTTCCTGCCCTGCTTGAGTTCCTGTCCTGACTTCCTTCAGTGATGGACTACAGTGTGGAAGTGTGAGCCAAATAAGTCCTTTCCTCCTCAACTTGCTTTATTGTCATGGTGTTTCATCACAGCAATAGTAACTCTAAGACAACAGTCCAGGCTGGCTTTGAACTTGGGATCCTTCCGCCTCAGCCTCCAGTGTGCTACATTTGGTTTTAAAGTCGAGGTGTGATTCGCCCTGCAACTGAAGCCTCCTGTCTAGATGGTCAGAGGAAGTTTGTCCACGGTCTCACTCTTGGGCCACGCCCCACGCTCGGAGCCGTGGGGGGGGGGGGCACGTCAGATCTCACGGGGCGCTGTGTTTTAGGACAGACCAGATGCAGGTAGGGCCTGCCAAGGGCTAGAAGACATTCACAACAGGGAAAGCCTGGGGGGTGATGGAGGAAAAGAAGGGATGATCGCTTTTTTCTGGGAAAGGTGGCCGTTGAGTTCTGCGGGGAGGCAAATAGCTCTGGACAGCGAGGGGAGGAGAGGACATCGCAGCCAGGGGACAGATAGAGGACGAGCATGGGATCAGGGAAGCTGAGTCCCGGAGGCTGAATGGAGAGATGAAAAGTGTGTGGACAGAGGAAAAGAGGAAGAGATGCGTGGGGGTGGGGCAGTCGCCTCGCGCACAGATAAGCAGTTTGGTATCCCTTAGCAACACAGTCCCAGGTAATTCTGGTAGGACTGTGAAGGAAGCAGCCAGAGCCTAGCAGGGAGCACGAGATGCAATGCCATTGTACGGAGAAGGAGAAGGGACAGCTGAGGCGTGGAGGTGGCCCGGACGTGGGTGTGGTCACAGAAGTACCTGATAGGCAGAGCCGGCTTGGCCTCGCCTGGCTGTGTGGTGCAGGGCAGAGAGGCCTTGGGGACCACGCCCCGGTGAAGCAGCTGGTCAGCGGAGGTGACAGGAACAAGGGTGGCTGTGTAGCCAAGAGCTCCCCACGGTGTCACCCCTGGTCCGTGGCCTTGCAGGAGGGAGGGGTGCGCCTCTGCAGAGCCCTGTGTTCCAGCACAGGGCCTTCCTGTCTGTTCACAGGGGAGACCCAGGTGTGGTTGCTCCCAGGGATTCATCACAGGCCAAGGCTGGTTCCTAACTGTCATCCACAGGCCTCGCTTTCAGCGGAGCTCTGCAGTATCTAGAAGTTGATCCCTTAAGGTTAATCCTTACAGGTCACGGCAGATTACAGTGCGCCTCGGGCTGATGCCAGGCCCATGACAAACGCTGACTCACTTCATACCGGAGCAGCGGTTACTCAGAGCATCACCTTGGAAATGGCAGTCGTGAACGAAGTTCTCGCTTGGCCGTGTGGTGTTTGGTTTATTTTTTTTTTGTTTTTTAAGGCCAGCATCCTCGCACACTTTTGCAGTATTGTTCAAGTGAGTTCCAAGCTCACCCAAAAGTTTCATATATTGAGGGCCCAGGAGATGCCTCAGCAGGTACAGATGCCGACTGCTGGCCGAGCTTAAGGACCCGAGTTTATTAATCTTTAGGCCCCACATGGTAGGAGGAGAGGACCGGCTCCCCTAAGTCTCCCTCTGACGTTCACACACTTGTCATGGCATCCACATGCCCGTACATACCCAGTAATTAAAGTCTGGTATGCTAAAATTACTATCTGCTCACCCACATTCCAAATTAATCTTCTGTTTTGGGGGTAAGGGTCTCATTATGTAGTCCTGGCTGCCCTGGAACTCACAGCGATCCTCCCGCCTCTGCCTCCTGAGTGCTGGGATTAAAGGCGTGCGCCACCGAGCCCAGATGTATTCCAGATTGTCTTTTTAAATGGTGCCTGTGTTTTATGCCCCCGTTCAAGGTGTCTATCCTGAAAATTAAGTTCCCTTCACTGGGGTTGAGCGTGAATGCCGAAGTTCTGCCGTCCCTGTGACGGAAACAGGGGACCTGCTGACAGGGTGCGGCAGAGGTTGTGCTGGTGGGTGGCAGGGGGAGGCTGAGCCCTGCCTCCCAGGGAGGGAGGACGCCAGGAAGCGTGTCTCAGGCTGGTTCCCCGTGTGGGAGGGCATCTTGGGGTTCAGGGCCCTCATCTGTGCTTCCAGGCTGGAGGTTTGCAGTTCACACTGAGCCCGCATTTGAGCTGCCCTGGTAGCAGCCCTGCTTGCTCATGCGATCTCCGAGTGTGTCGGGAGGTTTTGACTCCCTGAGACTGGCTCCATCCATGGTGACAGTTCAAGACAGCATTTCTGGCTTCTTGGGGGAGGGCGGGGGAGGGGCTGGCTCCCCGACTCCTACGGCAGATGGATACACATGCACACTCACCAGACACTCATAACCGCACCACACTCACACATGCACCCTCTCACACACTCCCTGACACGCAGCCCTCCTTTGCTCTCTACCATTTAACCCCCCCACCCCACCTCTGCATAGTCATTTCTTCACTCACACGCCTTCCCGGCACAGAAGCCTCTGCTCGGCCTTCACCTCCTTCCTATGTTGGGAGCATGCTGGCCGGGCCCCCCCAGCCTCCAGTGGGCCGACAGCTGTGTCTGGGAAGGAGGTGGTGTGTGCCCCTTTGTTCCGGGCTCATGAGCGATGATTCTCTCATGGGTTGATGGTTCTGAGACAGGGTTAGGTTTTACTCATTGTAATAACTTGGCACAACTTAACAATAGAAGGTTCCTGTGTGGAAGCGTACACATCCGGGCCTTTCATGAGCCATGTGCTCACTTCTGACGCAAAGAAAGAGGGAGTGGGTAAGGGCCACCACACCATGCTGGCCAGGCTGGCCATGGGAGGAGAGGATTACGAACGTCACCTTTGCTTGGATTGGAAAGGACGCTGAATGTCTTTTCTCTTCTTCCTTTTTAGATTCAGAACATGAACAACATCATCTCCTTCCCTTTGGACAGTTTGCTGAAAGGAGACCTGAAAGGCGTGAAAGGGGTACGGGCCGGGTCGAGGGGGTCACGGGGGTCACGGCGGCATCGGCTGCACCCCACCCAGCGCGTGCGCTCACCGGCATGGCGTCTGCTTTGTTTCCTTTAATTTGACGTTTTGATGCCGCCGCCGCCGTACGCGGTGCCTCTTGGCCTGTGGGTTCTTCTGTTGCTGGTGCTGCCAGCTCAGTAGAGGGAGAACACAGAGGAGGGAATGAGCCAGTTGGAGGCTAACGCGCCAGAGGGTTCCCTCGGTGCCCCCGGAGCACGGAGACGTGGCGGCCTCTGCTTTCCTAGCTGCTGCATGTGCTTAACGAGGACTAGGGGGGTCCAGCCCCTCGATAGTCCTCTCCCAGGGTCCGCAGAAGGCTCTATCAACCAGCAGAGAATCTTTAGGGTCAGTAAATCAGTCTACGCACGCAGAGTTCTTTGGTCTATTCGCTTTAATTCC